GGGAAGTGGCTGGTGGGAGAAAGTTGGTGGAAGCCACAATACGCAGCGTCCGTTCATCCACAGGCTTTTCCAGCGTCCTCACCTGCAGCGCGCACTAGGCTGTAGACAGACACCTGGCGTGGAAACAAGTTTGATCACTGGTTCATTTACAAGTCGTTTTCTAATTAGAAACCTCTAACAACAGCTTCCCAAATGTGAGTATTTGCCAGTGTCTCAGTAAAGTGAACATGTTTGAGTTTCTGACTGTTAGAAGGAAGCAGTCTGACCATGTTAACTTGAGCTTCAGGGGAGCTGCTGGGCATAGTGCAGCTTGACATTGGGTACAGTGGCCAGTCAGTGGATTATTAAAGGTTGTCTCAGTTACTGACAGAAGAACATTAAAGCTGTATGAATAAACAAATGCACACAATATGATGTAAAGCATTGATGGGCTTCAAATTAGATTTGTCACATATTTATGATTAATCTGATTATGTACCTGCAGAAATAGTAAATTCGAGGCTCTGGAGGCTCCTGGGCAGCGGCCCACTTTGCCCAGTTGGTATTCGACCTTGTCTATGCGGGGCAGTACTTTATTATTGCTCTGGCTCCTCACTTTTTTGTCTTATGACGCCCCAGAATGAAGCAGAGAGGGCTGTCCATGTGCATTTAGGAGCTGTCAGGAGTGATGGTGATTTGGGGTCCCTAGGCAAAGTCATGGGCCCTCCATGCTCCCCAGGAGCAGAACTGGGCTTTACTTTTACTTCACTTTGATCCTTTCCAACTGGGATAGTGGCTGCTTTTTGTGTGAGTGTGTTTGAACCCCCCAGATATCTGCCCAGATTCTCACTTGGGCTTCAGTTCATCAAGCGCTCACACAAAGACAGACGTATCCTGTCAAGATGTTGCAAATGTCAGCGCGGTATCAGTCACCTATGCTGGGCATGTGGTGTCTGTGGCACACAGTGACTCATTGACTGCTTATAGAGGGGTGTCCCTAACCAAACCACAGGCGTCAGATCAGGTTCCCAGTCTCTGCATCTGAGACCTTAAAAGGGACTTTGACCAGCAATTTAGCCTGTATTTGTTTTTTTTAAAGTTGGTGTGACAGTCTGGACTTTTAGATCTTACATCCAAACATGGCCAACTTAATTGTAGTACTTGTGTTGTCTGACGGTTGGTTGGTGGACATCTGTTAGCCTGTTTTCTACTCTTACAGGCGTGTACATGTATAAATGGTGATGTGTGTTGCCAGAGCGCTCACAGAACCTGATTTAAACCTGACTGCAGGTCCAGCTTCATTGAACGCACTCCTTTTGATTTGCCGCAGTAATGAAGGCTGTTGGGAGACCATACAGTAAACCAAATACCTGCTGGCAATAAGAAAACTATGTTATGGAGGCTGGTCGTGCACCACCAGCATTTTATTATTAGACCTGCCTGTACTGCTGCAGTGGATAATAAACGGTTTGTTTGTCACCGTTATCCTTCACAGCTACTTTCAGATTTAATTCAGCTTGTACGGTATATGAGGAAGTTCAGTTAGAGAGTCTATGTCTCCTGTATGTAGTAGGACAGTAGTATAAAATGAAACAGCTGGACTTCATGTCTGTTTAACGACAGGCTTTTTGTTTTACACTGCTTCTGACTATTTTCTCAAAGTCCACAACAGGTTTGTAGACTTATCTCCCATGTCTTAAGTCTGCTGTGCAGATCAACTAGTAGATGTTTACAACGTTCATGAGGCAGATAATCAGTCAGAGGAAGTTATTTGTTACCTTGATTCAGCTACAGCGCTTAGTCGGCAGCTGTTTTGGCTGCCAAATGTTAAACTGGTTTCAGTTTCTGAAATTTCTCAGTTTCTCAAATGTAGAACAGCTGCTTTGTTGACCGCTGTGAGTTGGTCAACACAAAAATTTAGAGGTTGCAACTCTGGGGTCTGAACAAAAGATTAATGAATGAATAAAGAGAATAGTTGGCAGATTAATAGATGATAAAAAAATAAACATTAGCTGTAGGCCTGTCTTGATTAGTTGTCCAATTTGCTTTACCATTTTTGATGATGCAGTGGTGAGCAGGACCATGCTAGAACAGTTCAGGGACATGTCAGGTCCTGGACCCACAACAATGAGCTCTGTTCTGCTAAGCTGGTGTCTGGGTGATGGGGTACAACATACTCACAAAATACTGCAAAGTTAATTGTTAATAAATCCAAAATGTGCCCAAACACCTGGCTTTTATCCTTCGGTGCAGTGTACCTGTGTCGCCCTGATGAGCCTCAGCCCAGTGCTCCCTCTCTGTTTGCTCTGTGTTTGGTCTCCACCACCTCCTGGGGGAAACCCACCGTCTTCACCAGCTGGTCTCTGACTGAGCAGGTCATGGACAGTGGGTTTATCGGAAATGTTTTCTGCTGCTGAGAGCAGTGAGACTGAACCAGGACAGTAAAGCCACGGGGTGTCAAACCAAAACCGTGGGTTCTAATTTTCTGGAGGTTCATCTCTACAATGACACCTCTCACATTACACACAGTCATTTGATCCATTGGTAATGCAGCAGCCTTAATGTCTTGTGCCCTTTTATAGCATTAAAATTTTCATTAGCTACATTCAGTTAGAAACAGGCTGGTTTCACCAAGCCTGCCTTTGTGTTTGTTGTTTAAATCGATGAGAGAGAGTTCCAGGTAGATCTAAAACAGCCCAGGCTTCCTGAAAGTCCCCTTTACCGTAGGAGGCAGTGATAGACGGGATCTCATGGGGGCCATTCACAGCCGTCCGTCAGCTCCTGCAGGAGACGCTGCCTCCCCCTGCCCCTCACCCCTCGACTTCTACCCACCCCGGCCTCCCGGGCCTTCAGCCACTCAGACGGACAGTGTCCTGCCATGGAACGCGAGGGCACCGCCACCGCCACCGCCACCGCCACATGTCACCCGCTGTCTGCTTTCTCACTGCTGTGCCTGTGGAGATGTGTACACCACACAGGCTGTGCACGTACTCCCCACACTGCGCTTTTTATTTCACTACATTGATGTGAAAGCTTCAATGACAGATTTTACATCATTCTTTTAAAATGCTTTGTAAAAGATGAAACTTTCAGCGTAAACTTAGTCATTTAATTTATTAGTTGTTTGGTCAGGGTATGAACTCCAGATGCTGACATCTGGAGTTCATAATGTTCAGAATTTTCAGCTTCTCAGACATTTTGCAGCTTGTTTTTTGATGTTTGGACTGTTTAAGCAAAACAGATGATGTGATGGTCATTGCTCACTCATGTCTGTGAATAATGCAGTTCATGGAGGCGTGTGGCCTGAAATAAGAGTTAAAACGAGCTGTAACAGTGAAATACTGCTTCACTATTAATGCATGAGTACTTTTACTTTGAAGTCGTTTTTCTGATAATACTTCAGTAAATTTTGAACCCAGCACTTGTACTTGTATGAGACAGTTTCACAGAGTAGTACAAGTACTTTTACTTAGCACTTCCCACAGTCACACTCAGAGGTTCAGCGTGCCATGGCTGATTTCCATCTTTTCCTCTCTTCAGCACTAGTTCTTTCAGTCTGTGGACCAGAAACCAGTCATGTTGTTGTTCGGGGTAAAAAGTTCAGTCTTTTATTTTCAGTCCTTCTGTTTTGCACTGAGTTTATAAATAGCAGCGTGCGAGCTGGGCGGAGAGTCTCTGTCATCCTGGAGAAGATCAAGCTCTGCATTAAACTGCACACACATACACCCACATACTTATTTTTATTGTTTTATGCAATTTTCCCTGATCGTCTCACATCTCCATTTGGTCTGAACTTTCCTTCCACTGCGACATGCTGAGTGTGCTCGTCTGTGAGCGCTCTAAATTTAAACCGTGTTGATCCTTTGCCGCTTTCCTGAAGCGAGGCAGGCTCAGAGGCAGTGTGACTCAGGCTCCAGATATTCATGTAATGCTCTCAGGCTGGCAAGTTGCTGCTCGCTGCAGACCATTCTGATACTATCACGTTGCTCTGGTTAATCAAAGTGTTGTGGCAAAACACGTCAATCAGCTTAATGTCGGACGCTGTCAGTTCATATTCATACGCTGCTGCTGTAGAAAACGAGGGGCAGAAAATGACATGAGAGAGGGGAAATGACACAGTGCTGCTTATTAGGGCTGCAGCTAATGATTACTGTCACTGTTGATCGATCTGTTGATCACAATCGATTCATAGTTTAGGCTGTAAAATATCAGAGAATGGTGGAGGAGTGTCACCAGCTTCATGTAGCTCAGTTTACAATCAGAAATTCTCACATTTGAGGAGGTGGAGGTGAGAATGGTTAGTGGCCCCGCTGCTTGTTGAAGTGTTTAAATGATTTCGGTCAAGAAGCAAAACAAGTTTTATAAAGTGATTTTAATCTTAAAGGAATTAAACATGTAGATTCCACAGGGGTGCGTCTCCACCACACCTGTAAAACTATGTTGGTTGAAACCACATGAATTTTTTTTTTTTGGCAGCCTTGCACAGTCCGAGTGTTGTTGTTTTACATTTTCCCTCATAGTTGGAGTGCGAGACAGAGCGATGAGCCAAGTGCCAGGACTCCACTGGGGGCCTCACAAGGATCAGGTCAATGTTAGTTTGGGACGAGAGGCGGGGTGCACCTGGACAGGTGGCCGGTCTGTCACAGGGGCTTAGACTCACCCTAACCTATCCACACAGACTCCCCCTTTGGCCACGACCATGCTAACCACTGCACTACCGTGCCATCCCAGTTCAACTTCCATTTATGTGACATCAGTAATTTAAGGTCATGAACTTGCCTTTGTTGTGTCGGGTCCTCCAGCAGGTGGCTGAACAGGTAAACCAAAGGTAAACCAAAGTATCAGATCAGGCACAGAGGTGGCAGGTTCGCTGTGTTACAGGACTCGGACTGGGAGCTGCAGCAAAAATAGTCCATCTGGACATCGCACATCACCGTGCACATTTATCAGACATTATTGACCAGTGAATCAGTAAAACGATCTGTCGGTTGTCTTTAATAAAATAATTTTGTAGCCAGGTGGTAAACGTATACGAAGGGGAGATAAATAAATAACTCACTTGTTTTCCACTGATGGTGAAAAGTTCCCTAAAGGTTTTCAACATTTCTAACGTCATGTAATGTTTATGGTTCTCATGTTAATGTAACACAGTTCAGTTTAGGTGATATGTAAAAGTAACCTACAGTGGGCTATTGGAGCTTAAGGCTACCTAGTCTCTTGGCCTTTAGGTGGCACTACGGACTGACAGGTGTACATTGAGGCGGTTGACCAATTACATTGTGGTCCCTTTCTTTTACGTTGGACTTAGCTCGAGAGCGGGACGCAGTGATTTTGTTTGGACTTGTGTAAGTAAATATGCTGAAAATCTTGTTGGATTCTTTTGTGTCAATACTTTAAAGAAGTCATTTCTAAGAATTCTGACAAGATGGTGTATTATAGATACCGATGGTGCTGGTGGCGGTGTGTCTGACAGAGCAGGTGAGCTTTTGGCGGGATGTCTGTATGTATGTGAATGTGGTATTTTACAGATTTGTGGTTATTTGGGTTTTACATATTTTATTTTGTTTGTGTGTGCATCCATAGCCCACTGCCGTGTATTTTGTTACCCCTTTTGTTTTGCCACTCCGTATTTTGTTTTCAAGTTCAAATGACCTGTGACCTGCTGGACATCGAAGCTGTAAGGACCCCAGTCACTGTGTCTCCTGCGGTAACAAGTTTACCTGGGCTACAATTGTTTAAAACATTTAATTGAGGATCAGAGTAATTACGAGGTGAGGGAGATGAAGCAAAGCAGCAGCCTTTGAAGAATTTTGTTTATGGCGCTCATCTTCGTCATCGGCTTACGTTTTCACGAGTCCCAGCCTCGTTCTCCGTTTCCTCCTTTGCGCCTGAGGGCTGGCACCTCCTGAAAGGCAGCACGCCTCGTCTCGTCGCCCTGCTGTGATGACGGTGGAAAGCTGCCAAGGAAACCTGTTGTGTGTGCGTATGTGAACATCAGCCAACCCCAGCTGTTAAGCTCCACTTCGTGAGAGAGACACGGGTCACATGGCGCTCACACACACACTGTCCTGCACAGGGCCGCTTTTAGACTGTGACACATTTTCTCACTTTAGTGTGCTCTTTGTGTTCTGTTTCATGTCTGCAGCACACAGGTGGTTAACAAAAGCTTTGTTACGGATCCATCTGGACTTTAAATGTCTCCTCGTCACACTAAGAGGCACGAGCGGTTTCACGTGAGGGGTCAGAGTGAGAGGTTAGGTCAAGTGTTTAGGATTAGAAAGATGTTGGTGTTTACTGGTTGGCTTCTGACTCCAGAGGAGAGCTGCACAAGAATTCCTACATGCCTAGACTGTCTGTTTATGCATAAATGGCAAATAAAAATCTTGAATCTTGGTGTGTCTGCGTGGTCTGAAATTCATCATGCACTTACACGCATGATATTTGAGCAGCCAGCACCACGGCTGAAACCTAAAGCCAGTTTTGGGCCTTGAAGGAAAATTCTGGTTCATTACAGCTTTCATAATTTTTATTTCTGTCAGTTACGATGAGATTATACAAACCAAAGCCACTGTTGAGATCTGGACACACGGTGGAAAAGACACGAGCAGGCAAACGATCAGAGTTCGGAGATCAGAGACGTTATCTAGACATTTTATATGGCGGTGAAATTGGTCTAACTACCAGTGTTTGAAACTGACAACTTGGGTGAGTCGTCTCAATAACTCCAAGGTTGGTGGTTTGTGGTCTTTTCATCTCACTTCACATGAACCCGATAAACTAAAATGTGAGCGTTAGCATTGTCAGTATGTTAGCATGCTAAAGCTAAGCTTTTAGCTCGTGCCGTCCTTTAGCATGTTGCTAACTAGCTACTGTTCTATTTTAAATAGTCTCATTGACAGGTGTGTGCGCTGTTCAAAGAGCTTAAAACTCATTTTTCCAAACTGTTGATGTGTGTTTGTCTTTTCTGCTGCAGTCTTTGTGGTTTTTAGCTTTTGGGAAGCACATTGTATTTGTAAGAAATGAATGTCACGTTCAGCTGTAGATTTCCTGCTTGTTTGTCGATGTCAGCTTCTCCCTGACGGGACGTTTTTTGGTGAGCGGCAGAGACACAACCCTGTCTTCAGACATGGTTTTACAAAACCTCCAGATGTTTTTACACAGCGTACAACAGAGACAGCCACAGTCTGTTATTTGCATTCTGACATGCCTGGTGGTTTCACTTCCTCCTGGGTATACGGTAACCCCCTGAGGAAGCTGGTGTATGGGTGTGTCAGGGGGATACAGCAGCAGGATGGGCACGCAAACAGACAATACGTTGCCTGTCTGTGCGTGCATGGCAGGTATACTTTGCAACATAGCATGACATGACACCCACATTCAGTTCATTTGTGGTAATTATATGTAGTGTTTATACATGTCTGAGGTTTTATTTTGCAGTTAATGTCGTTTCTATCGCCCTGGAAATGTTTCGATTTTGACATGCACCACTTCAAATGTGGCACAAATCTTCAAACCAGTTTGGCCTCTTCCTCTGGTCCATGTGTGGGCATGTGTTTTTGAAAGGGAATCATGCAGTTTCAGATTATTGACTTAACCCTGATTATGTTTTTGTTGGTGCTTTTCTGCAGGAGCCAGTCAGCAGTTTGGGATTGACAAGTGAGAATCTGTGAGGACCTGAAAGTCATTTGAAGGAACCAGAGGAGAAGACATTTGTGAGGAAAAGCAGCTGAAAAGAATCACAAAGATGGGGAGAAAAAAGATTCAGATAGCACGGATCATGGATGAACGGAACAGACATGTAAGCACAGAGAAGAATGAAACACTTTGCAGACACACATCTTGAAATGCGTTGGTGGTTTCAGGCGATGGTCTTGAGTGAGCTGGTAACACTTTCAACACAAGTGTGATTCGAATAAGTCAGATTAACAGCGAGACCACAGCAGCTCAAGGTTAGAGAGATTAAATGTGCACCTTTGCCCCTGATCAAGATCAATACATTTCTCAAATTAGCTCTAAAGTGAATGGGGTGAATTTTCACCTCGTCATTTGTACATAATCTAACTAGCAATGGCCACACAGATAATGTCTGTTACTGTTTCTGTGTCTTTGTGTTTGTTTGAACTAACCAGACACTCTTGTTCTTTATTTCGCTCCAGTCTCTGTCCTGTTTCCACTCATCTCTGTTCAGACTCGTAATAATGAGAGAAATAAAAAAAAAGTGTGATCTGCAGTCTTGTTTTGCCACCTTTCATCTGCAACAGCTGCATGGATAAAAAAAATGAATACCCAGTAAAACATTTGCATATGAGCAAATTTAAAGGAGCCACAAACTGACATACTGTCATCATTTGTTTGTGGACTGTTGCAAATTAGACAGATTTCAATAACTAATAAATGAAAGTGGTGACTTGCACCTTCAGCGCTCGCCGTGCCGACCAGTCGAGCTGTCCTGGCACATTTCTTTGTAGCATGCACATTGATAAATAAAGATAAGTAACTTTCTCAAGCTGTATAGAGTTTTGCAAACTGTTGTGCAGTGTTAAATGTGTTTTTAAAAGCATGGATCTGTTGCTCCAGCTGGACCTTTCTGGACTCTATTGTCTCGTTGATACCTTTCATCAACACACCCTCCTTTGTTGTTTTTAGCTCAGTGTTGTTTTTGGTCTGAGAAGTGGGGGCGGGCATCCTTCACGCCCTCATTTGTCATTAAGTTTGTTAAAATGATTTTTAAAAGCCATCAGTGAAGAGAAGAGAAAACCCTCCTCTGTATTTATACCATGAAAGCTCACAGCTCATCACTGTTTCCCAGCAGTGACACCGTTTCCTCTCACGCACCAGGTGCCGATGTTGCATCATCAGCATGTGGCTGTTTCTGTAAACGTTCTGTCATGTCTGAATAAATCCTGAAGAAAATTAAAGTCACACACATCTGAATAGCGACAAACTGATAGATGAAGCCAGCCAGACACACTATCGTGCTTTAGACTGGTGATATGTCGTGATCCGCACAAGCATCTGACTGTTTGTATGCGAGTCTGTACTCAACATGTACGGAGACCTGCTGACTCAATGCAAACGATGAGACAACGGAGTAATGAGAGATTGTTGTCAATGAGACTTTTGCACAAGTGTATTGTCACACACACGACGAGTCCTGTCTGGGGGAGCGGTTCCTGACTTCCTGTTATGACAGGAAATGCAGGCACATATGCTTCCTGACCTCCGTGGTGCAGGACTGACCTCGTCACAGCCCTCCTTCCCTGGACCACATGACGTTATACTAATGTTTCTGTGTATGCGAGGGCGTAAACTGCAAAGAGGGGGAGTGTGACTCTTTGAAGTGTTATTTATAACATTTCACCTCCTGCGTCACAGCTTAAAGAAAAACTAGGGTTTATTTCAACTTGGGTTTTATTGACATAGCTGCTAAAACCAGGTCCAGTCAGCCAAGAAACACGAGCAGTCAGACAGTTGTTCTGGTTGCTACCAAACCTCCAGCTTAATCAATGTTATTGGAAGAAACAAACTAAACATCTTGTTTCAGCTTTGTCCCACTGTGCTCGCTGTAGCTAACCCACCACTTCAGGTGTATTCACGTCCTTTAGTTTAGCTAATGTAGACTTGTTTTCAGTGCGACTGCTTGTTTTTGAGCTGTCAGTCCTATTGTTGGTAATGTTGCAGTGAGGCCTCACCAGTTAGTGGAATCCAACAGGAACTACAGAAGTAAAACCCACATTGTAATCAACCTGACTTTTCCTCTAAACAGTTTTAAATAGTTGAAATGCCATAGTGGCATAAATGCAGGACGACCCTGGCGACAGCGTGACAGCCTCTTCTCCAGCATCTGTTTCTGAGAAAAACATTTCTGAATGGTGGTAAACATTTAGACCAGTATAATTTGTGCCAGTAAATGGGTGAAAACATAGAATATCACTGGTATGGTGCTCCAGCAGTGCTCCATGATGTTTTTAACTTAAACAAGAGCATGTATAATGAGACTGACGCCGCAGCTCTGCTGTGTGTCCCGCTTTCTCATGTTGCTTTTCTCCCTCTTCTTCTTTTCTCCAGGTGACATTCACCAAGCGCAAGTTCGGCCTGATGAAGAAAGCTTATGAGCTGAGCGTGTTATGTGACTGTGAGATCGCCCTCATCATCTTCAACAGCACCAACAAGCTGTTTCAGTACGCCAGCACCGACATGGACAAAGTTCTGCTGAAATACACCGAGTACAACGAGCCCCACGAGAGCAGGACCAACTCTGACATCGTGGATGTAAGTCATACGCTGCATCTTTCAGCTGCTTGAGCAAAAGTAAATCTGCGGCCATCTTGATGATTGATTAGTGATATTTGTTGGTTTCAGCTTAGAAATCCAGCAAACTGTTACATTTAAGTCTGAACATGTTTTGGACTGTTTGTCAGATATAAAACTTTTGGCTCTGGGAAATTTAAATAAAATTTATTTAGACATTTTTACAGTTTTCAAATATTTTTATAGACAAAACAATTATGAATATTAAATGTAAATGCTTTAAGTGTGATAGAGATTTTATGGACCAGGCCTAAGACGAGTTATCTATTAGCAGTTCTCATTTGCCACGGGTACGCTGACAACTATCATTGGATGACTTTCATACTGAAGAAAACTTAATGTGATGATTCTCAGGCAACATAGCATGACATGACATGACACCCACGTTATAAAGGATGTGTGTTTTCTGTGCAGAGTTGTGGCTGTTAGTCATAGCGAATAATGATGATAGTGATATCTGTGGAAAGTGGAAGTCACAATAAATCTAAAAATAACCTGGGAAGGCACCTCACAGTATGACGACAACCTCGGTTATAGACTGAACAACTCATTTAATTGATCAAAAAAATCAGTCGGCAGATTAATCCATTTTGAAAATAATGGTTAGATGCAGCCAGTTAGGGCATCTATACCAGAAACTGGATGAGTGTCAGGTCCACAGCTTCATTTGTAGATCGTGTGTGTGTGTGTCTGTGACAGCATTGTGCCAGTGCAGAGCAGCACAGTGTGTATTAGGCTGCACCTTCCTCTGCCTTCACTGATGTAATAGTGTTAGGAGAACACAATACCAGGCGTAAGCTTTTGCGTACACACTGTGCTAAGTACGCCATATCACCAAGGTCAGACTTGTCCAAAGTCAAAGACCAGGCAGGAGTCCGGTGTGGTGTCGCTGGCGGGGGCAGTGAGCAGGAGGTCCTCATGCACCTCCTGGGTTTATTAAAAATCGAGCTGAGTCAGCAGGCGGCTAACAACGCTCATGTGGAATGTAAACATAAAGAATTACAAACCATTGTTATCAATTATAGACATTTATTCTACATTGTTCCTAATTTGACAAGAGCACAGTTGAACTTTCCTCCACTGATTAAGAGATGATGTTGTGGTGAACCTGTGTTTGTGTACATGCACACACCATGTAGTGTGTGTACCTGAGCTTTTCCGTCCACGTGGCCCACCACCTGGCCTCTTGGCCAGCCCTGTCAGAACCAGGCTTACACACTCTGTAATCCTCTGTAATCGGCCACAGTCCTGTTTAGCTCGTTACTGTAAACCGTCCAGGCTGCCTCCTCATCTCTGCACGCAGTCTGACCGGACGGGTGACTTACTGCGTCGGCATCCACTCCGACCTCTGTCCAACATTTCCTGCCTCACTTCTCTTCAGCTTCCTTTTCCTGTGTACCTTTAGTCCCTGTGCAAACTGTGGTGTTTTAATGCTTTTGGTTAGTGAGGTTATTATTGCATTTTCTTTCTGTCCATTACTTTCCCCCTTTGTGTACACACACTTTTCTATCCATCCATCTGACTGAAGTCCTTCCTCACTCACGTTTCTGTTGCCACAGTCGCACCCAGAATGCATGTTGACATCCAGAGATTATTCCATGTGAGAAGCGGCTCCACAGGGATATGCTGAGCTGTAGGCGTTCAGCGGTGGCATGCTGTATGTTAGCAGGACTCGTATGCAGAGAATAGCAGTGATGTGGTGTTTTCATGTGCCATACGCCAAATCATAGTGACATAGCTGATTAAGAAGACGGTGAAACAGGAGTGACATACAGTACCAGCAGCCACTCCTCAGTCTCGGTGCTGCTGGGTTTTTGGTTGTCTTGCCTTCGGGGTGGTGTGGAGATTGTAGAAGCTTAGAAAGAGAGGTGGAAATCATATTAAGTTGACTATTGTGTTCTAACAAATTGAGATTGGTGTATTTTATACACTAGTATTTTGCAGAGATGGTTGCAATGTTATGCAGCATGAGAAAATCGTAACTCGGGTTCAGTTTACCGTTTATTTCAGAGCCTTCGATCTTGCAGATTGAGCAAAAGATCAGAAGATCCATAGAAGCCTGGTGTTGTTGTGTTTGTAGTTTTATTTGTAAAGTAATATGAAATGATATATTGAAGTGAAACACAACAGCCTGGTGCACTACTCTGATGAAGGCAAGATAGGTGACAACATTTGGGGAATAAAGTGTGGTAGATGTGCACGTCATTTACTTTTACTGGGCCTGTACTGAAGCTGACGGTGTGTGTGTGCACCTCGCTGTGGTGTGTGTGCACCTCGCTCCTCGCTGTGTGTGTGTGCACCTCGCTGTGTGTGTGCGCACCTCGCTGTGTGTGTGTTCTCAAAGAAGTATGACTTTGGTTGCTCCTACACCCGGTTTCAGTTAGCTGATAACATTTGGTACTTGGCCAACACACCACGCATAATCTTGCTGCTCTCTGATTAGATGATGAGATCGACAGAAGCTTTGGAGAGGCTTGTGTAACCTCAGGGTAAGGCAACAATACATGGCACGACATGGAGCTGAGGTGGATGTGCCAAGGTTGCGCTCACCGAGCCACAGCAAGTGGAACAGGGTCAGCAAGTCGGATCACCTCTGAGCTGAGAGCGGGGAGGATTTTATAGGACTAATTCAACATTTTGGGAAAATCCAGCCTTCCTTCTGAGCATGAGATGAGAAGATGGACATCAGTTTCATGTCTGTGTGTTGAGCACAAAGCTGGACTCAGGATATGATTAGCTTAGCTTAGCATGAAGACTGGAAACGGGTAGCCTGGCTCCAAAGTTCAAAACTACACCAACCAGCACCTCTTTAATTTAACTGTGCACAAACAGAAATGTACAAACAATAGTTGTGGTTTTACATGTTGGATGATGGAATTTTATGGTGACAATCAGTAGGGTGTGGTGACAGAGGAACTGGGTGGATGATGTTGCACAAGGTTCCGGCGCCTATTCC